GTACTGCCAACAAGCAGAGTCGTTTGAGGTATGCAAAGGCTCGTCTGGTTCATGTTCAAGAATCAGTCAAGAGGTTGAAGTTACAGGACAATGATCCAAAGCATTGTTCCAAATCTACCAAGGAATTCATGTACAGACACAGATACAGTGTGTTCTAGAATGGCCATCCCAGTCCCCAGACTTGAACATCATCGAAAATCTATAGAATGATTTAAAGCAGGCTGTCCATGCTCGGAAACTATCAAACCTGACTGAACTGGAGACATTTTGCAAGGAAGAATGGTCCAAAATACCTGAAGCCAGAATTCAGGGACTTATCAGTGGCTATTAGAAGCGTCTACAGGCTGTTATTTCAGCAAAAGGAGGCTCTACTAAATATTGATGTAATTATTCCATTGTGGTGCCCAAATTTTTTGCACCTGTCTGTTTTTGTCATGACTCACATTGCATTGTTTCTGTTGATTCAGTAAATGTTATTTCAGAACTGAAATGTTACTGTTTCCATAAGGTATAAATTATATCCAAATTAAGTTGCTGCTACGAAAGCCCAGCAGATTATAAACTAAAATTATGATAGATATATGATATCTATCTATCCATGAAAATCATGATATATATTAGGGCTGCACGATATATCGGAAATATCGAAATATGTAAATATCGCGATATGCATATCGCAACAGCGTGCGATATCTGAATCATTTTAATAATAGGCTACTTAAATCAAAACGTTGCAAAAGGTCAAAGTTTTAGTTCGACGCATATAGCAGAGAATTGCTTGACGTTAAAAAGAGTTATTAAGTGCAATAAGTTGCAGAAAACAACTCTTTGCCGTCTGGTCTTGCTGTCTGTCTGACTCACACCTGAAGCACGTACACAAGTCGCATCTCGCACAGCGTATCTTCCGTTCTCCCGCACATGTGCAAAGCGAGCGCACACACAGAGAGAGACGCGTTTCAGATGGCGCTCGAACACCGAGTTGATTCGTCTTTCGCATCTCCTCCTTATGTTTGAACAGACACATACACAGAATTATGTCAATAGTACCCGTCTCGATGATCATTCTCGTAAACGCAGTCGGTTATGTTTTAAATGAATGTAAACAGCTGAGAAAGAAATCGGATGTGTATCATTATACTGGATCCGTGCAGTCGGATTTAAAGGGACAGCAGCCTATAAATACGTGCTGCTGAATATGTCACATTGTCAGTAATGTTAATCAAACAACAAAACAGCTATAACAAAGATTAATCTAAATTTAATTCATACAGTGAACACTACGCAGTGTTATTTTACACTTAATTATTAAATTCCTCTATCTGAATACTACTGTTTATTTTATCTATGCTTGTAAATTGTGTATTTCTTTTTTTTCTTTCTTTTTTTTTTACTGACTGTTCACTTGCCTTTAATCATGTTTGAACTTTCTCAGACTATAGTTTTATAGACTATAGTTGCTGTGGTATATGAAAAAGTACTTAAAGTGTATGGAAAGCAAAGTCACAATGATGTAAAATTAGTGTCATTCATTTTATTGTCATTCACATTGATGTTAAAATTACATTTTCTGATTTGTGACATTACTTTTTAAGTAATGCTAAAACACTGCTGGTCACTTTCAGAAGTTGTAGTGATTCTTTCTTTTCCAAGAAAGAATGTGAAACAAATTGGTTATATAATTTTCATTTTTAAATATTTTAAAATATAATTGAAATTGATTGTACACACTTTAAGCAATATCGTATCGCATATCGAATATCGCATTTTTTAACA